TTGAATCGAACTGTCCGAAAGAACCGGTTCGCGGAAAAGAACCGAACTTCCCATCACTATGGGGTTCCAAGCGAACCGTACCGTTACCAACACGTGACGTGTAAACTCTGCTGATCACGGATTGGCCGGAGAGAATCGTCACTACCTGCGTCACTGAACTTGCGACACAAACACAAAAGAACCGCTAGATTTAAATCAGCACAGCCAGCGAAGGATCGAACGCAACTGTTTTGAACGAGCGCACCGTTTTTTTAACAACCAAAAAGTTTTGTTGTCTGTTGCGGAAGTACAGACGTTCCTCTCATTGATAGCAGAGGAGCGGATCCAGCGAGAGCTTGATGGGGCGACGCAGAATGAAAAAGTTTTTTTTAGGAGTCGTGGTAGTAGAGGCGGCGCAACTATAACGACATGTGAATAATCCCGCTCACACTAAAGCGGTACTGAACTGCTCAGCTTTCTCCTCTTTTTCGCCTAGATCTGACCTCTGTTACTCCTCTCTTTCTCCTCTTTTTCCCCTTTCTCTCCTTGCTCTCATATCTGTCTCTTCTCTTGTTCTTGTCTCCTCTTTGTCCTCTCTTCCTTATCTCTCTCTCTTTCTCCTCTGTTCTCCTAGATTTCAGTTCTTTGTCTCCTTTGTTTTTCCTGTCATTCCCGATCATCTTTTTTTGCTCTCACCCGTCTCATCTCTTTCTCCTCTCTCTCTCTCTGTGTGTGCTCTCATACTGTATGTCTCTTCTCTCGTTCCTGTCTCATCTATCTCATCTCTTTCTCCTCGTTTTCATCTAGATATCATCTCTTTTTGCTTTCATCAATCTCATCTCTTGTCTCCTTTTCTCATCTACAAAGTTTCTCTTTCTTGTTCCCCACTCTTACTCTCCTTGCTCTCATGTCTCTCTTCTCTTTCTTCTCTCATTCTCTTCTATCTATTTCTTCCCTGTCTCGTCTTTCTCATTTTCACCTCAATCTGTCCTGCTTTTCATATCTGTCTCCATTCTTTCTCTTGTCTCTTTTTGCTCTCATCGCCATCTCCTTTCTTTCTCTCCTTGCTCTGGGTGTTTCCTCTTTCTCCTCTATTTCTTGTTTCTCATCTCTTTCTTCTCTATCCGTTCTCTGTCTCCTCTTTCTTTTCTGTTTCCAACAAACTTATATTACCATACTTAGCTTTTCCTCAGTGTTTCTCCCAGTACACAGAGTAAATGCCTGATCTGTGGAATAAGTCCTATTGCTAGTGCGGGTCTGTGGGATCTGAAGGGATTATGAGGAGAGGTTAGAGGCTTTAGAGAGAGCAGGAGATGGCTTTCCTTTCATCTCAGCCCGTTTGATTGTGCTGGTGATTTGACGGCACCATTTAAGAGCCGACTAAAAGAAATGTTTCCCCAAATCAAGAGGGTCCTTCGGTGGCCCTCACAGAACACAGGTTAGCAAATAGACCTGCTTTGTGTTCGCTTCATTTACTCACTCTTGGGTAGCTGCTTTGTCAGATGTTAGTTAATAAAACAGATATAATTATATGGTTTTCTGATCTGTACAGCGCATGAATCCTACAAAACTATTAGTTGTGCTTGTATCTTTATTAGTATTTCTATATTTAATGGTAGGTATTTTAATAAATCTTTGTGGTTTTAAACGGGATTGTTCAACCAGAAATGAAAATTACCCCATAATTTACTCACCCTCAAGCCATTCTAGGTGTATATGACTTCTTTCATATCTTCTTTCAGATAAATGCAATCGGAGTTTGAAAAATGTCCTGGTTCTTCCAAGCTTTATAATGGCAGTGAATGGTGGTTGAGATTTTGAAGCTTAAAAAAGTGAATCCCTCCATCATAAAAAGTACTCCACACGGCTCCGGGGGGTTAATACAGGCCTTCCAAAGCGAAACGATATATGATGTAGAATATGGTCTTCAATCCTATCCAATGCCTAAACTTAACATCTACCTACTAACTATTAATAAGCAGCAAATTAGGAGTTTATTGAGGCAAAAAAATTTTTTTAAAACTCAATGTTAATAGCGAGAATTGGACCTTAAAATAAAGTGTGACCGTCATTT